ATATATATATATATATATATATATATATAATATTTGCAACATAGATTATGGAAATATGATATGAATGAGTATATATATATATCCTTTTTTTTGTTCTAAAATTGACCAAAATTTTCCAAATAAGCTTCAGGGAATCTAACAAATAAGGATAACAACGCTTTTATTTTATTTTTTAAATTTTAGGCTGCTTATTTTTTCCGCCATACATGAATCTAACTTTTCGTTTTCTTTTTTTTCTTGATGGTTTTTATTTTGTCAATTGGGTTTTTTTTTTACTAACTTTTGAAAAAGATAGTTAGTAGGGAATTTCATTTAATCACGTGTCATGTTGTGTTATCCATCTTACGAGGAATTCTTTTTGATTTTTTTTCCTAATTCCGTAATTAAATTCTCCCCGGAATTGAACATGCAAGTATTCGGAATCCAACCGAAAACGTGGGACTTTGAATTTCGTGGATTTGAATCTACGTAGTTGTATTATTTTTTCTCCTACTAATATTTCGGTGGTGGATATATATATATATATATATATGGGACAAAACTATACAATAGAACGAAGGGGTCATTGAATAACAAATAACTATTTCATCCAGATAACAAATTGGGTAAACATATTGAATATCAAATCAATAAAACCATTAGTATAAATTCTAATCCCATGAAATTCGATACACGAAATAGTTTTAACCATGTAAACTATTGATCCGCGCTATAAAGTCTTAATTTTTCCTTCAAAATGTATATATATGTATTAGTGTATATAAATGTGTATATATATATATATATATGTATGTGTATCTACTCTAGCCTTAACTTGTGTTATGTATTTTCTTTTGTAATGTTGTATCCCCCAACTCCATTCATCATCTATGCTGCATATATGCTACTAGAGTCTACAATATATGAAAAAAATATCGGATGATTTTTCATTTCTTTTTCAAATTGATTATAGATCTCGAATATATTGTTCTTATTCATATGCAGAGCATATGGCTTTTGAAATTTCGTTATGCGTGTCTGCGTATGGGAATCCCTTTCTTGTATATTGATATTTTTGTAAAACTCTTTTGTTCGGTTGGAAAGTAATAGGGGCACATTTAAACCAAAAAAAAAAAAATATATATATATATATGTCGCAATAGTACGGTACATTGCCCCTGGCGAAGATTACATCATATAGCACATTACTCGAGCCTACTATATATATATATATATATATATATATATATATATATATACTTTTCTTTATATATATATATATATATATATCAAGTTGGGTATTGTTCGTAACCCAAAAAAAAAAAAAGTTGGGCATTGTTCAAGATTGGAATTGCAGAAAGTGAATCTAAGAGAAATGGGTACACATAACTTGCTATTATCTGCAACCCACTTGTTACGATAATGTACTTGTTTCTTCGAAGCCGACAAGCTCCTCGATTCTCATATCTATTTGGTCTACGCTTTACGTATACCGTATATATACACATATATACGTACATACCTAATGCTGATTATAGATATTATACCCCAAAATATCATAGAGAATTAGCAATAAAAGAAATGTTTAGGCATCCGAATGTTACCGACAATGGCAATAACTTTAAAAAACAAAATTAATATTCGAACATATGGAATAAGGAGGAGTGTTGGAAATAATTGAACACACCGATAGTCTGAAAATTCATTTGACCAAAATTTTGGATCCATTCGGAGGCTCGAAATTTTGAATTTCAGTATATTTATTTCGGGATCTATATTTATTTTACAAAACCATATTAATTGGATTTTATAAATTTCTAAACATAATCGAGTTAAAATCAATTAAATATTGTTTCATTCATAGGGAAAATAAATATAGGGTGAGGCCAAATTATCCAAAATTACAAGGCCTCGAAATGGGTCTGATTGCTGGCTTTAGCAGAAGAAGCATTTGGGCCATAAAAAAAACGAAAATAAAAAAAAACTTCATATCTCTATTTTCAAATAATTATTAAATTTAAAAATCAAAGTTACTGATTGGGCTGTCCAAAGCCCCTATCGTTGAATTTACGGACTTATCAATGATGGTTATGGGCCGAAACAAGTCACAATATGTAATTTATATATTTTCCATCAAGGTTAATATTTAAATCCAAAATTCAACTCCATATTTCGACAGACATGTTCTAATGTTTTACCTGTCTTATTTTAAGTTTATTCTTATAATTATTTCGTTGAAATGTAGTAAAAATTACATTTCCTGGATGACTTATATATGCATGCATGTGTGTAATTTGTTTTATTTAATAATTATAACTAAATTGAACGGGTTTATTCAATTAGTTGATAACCTTGGCTAAAAAAATAATGATTCAATTTAAACAAGTATTAAAATTGAGATTATATATGTAACACATGACTTAAGATGATAAGTACCTACACAATCTAAAAAGGAATTAATTAATTACCCTTTTGTTTGTTTCCAATAATCAACGAGTTGATTAAATCATGGTTAAAAGTAAAAAAGAGACCTGCACTATAATTTTTTTAATGTATCGGGGACACTAAATTATTATTGGAATATTGGTTACTATTTATTAAAGATATTTTACTGTATTTATTGGGGACACTACTAAGTTAAATTAAATGAATTATAATTTATTTATCTATTAATAAAAATTTGCCAGATGGGATTTCTGAATAAAGTATTGATCCTATCAAAGCTCAGCTTAATGACAAAATCAATTAGGTGTTGGGAGAACTTCGATGAAATATTTAAAGCAAAAATCATAAAATGATAATTGTGATTAGGGTCAATTGTTATTGTTTAATGTTCTTTTATTTGTGTGTGTTGATTGACATCTTTTTGGTCCTTTCAATCACACGAGTGAACTCATTATTAGAGGGGGAAAAATAATATATTATATTTTTCTTAGAGTATATTCAGTGTGGGTATTCAAGATGCCGACCACTAATTTAATTAAAAAAATTATTTTGGGAACCAATGATTTCTTTCGTGGGTAGGGATTAAAGTTGCTAAAGAATCTCATGTGTAATGTTTGAAATAAACCAATCCACTAAAATAAAATATATATATATATATATAACCATATTATTGATTTCGAAGTAATTATTATACTAAATGTGGTAATCTAAGCCTTAAAAAAAATTAGGATGTACAATCATAGAAATTTTCTTTTTATGTCACTAGGTGTGTGTACATATATATATATATATATAGTACTTGAAAACAATATGTAATGATTGAAAGGTGTAGTTTATCTTATTTTCAAGATAGAAAAAACTAATATTTGAGTAATTATCCAGCCAGCTAATTAATTAACTGATTTTCAAATATTGAATATATTTTTTTTCAACTCCATGGAGTGATTATGCAAGATTTCAAACACACCTACCACCTTTCCTTCCGGATATTTATAGAATAGAATAAAATACTAAGGGAAGAGTTTTTTTGGGGGAATTTTAAAATTCAAAAACCAAAAAAAAAATTGATAATCAAAATTTTGTAAATTTGGTTTTCCTAAAAATTTGAAAAACTAATTTAGTAAAATGATTAACTAAAAACCAAAAACTCCATTTTTTTGGATTTAAAAATATTATAAAAACCAAAAGGTAAAAACCCACAACCAAAAACTAAAACAAAAAAACTCAAAAAAAAAATTATCACCATTCATAGAAAAAAGGTGCTCTATTAAAAAAAATGTAATTTTCTTTCCTAATAAATAACATTTAATCGAAAGAAAATTACAAAGGTAAAGACGTGTATTCCACGACAAGGATATCGAAATTGTCAATCATTTATCATCGGTGTATTTTTTCTTGGATGTATTAGTGATACAAACGTGTATGTGTGTATGTATATGCTAGAAATTTTATGTTTATACGTAGGCATGCACCCCACATCAATTATTAATTAAACTGTGTATTATATTATTTTATTTAAAAAATTGTTTTGATTATCATTTGTTTATTGGGTGGTCCAAATTTCATTAATTAAGTTTAGTGGATGACCACGTCATAATCGCACTTAATGGAAAGAGATCATGGCTTTTCGAGCTCCAAAAAAGCATATAAATGACATATATTTATTATATAAAAATTGAATTCGAATTACTACGATTTGAACTATTATAGAGGCGAAGTGGTACGTGATATTTAAAAAACTATTTTTAGTTTATTCTTTCAACTTTTTTATAATTATGTTTTATTCTTAGTTTTTTTTTTTAAATTGATATTTAAAGTTATATATTTAACGCATACCGTTCATATTTAATCTAAATTTAAATGACCAAATATTATATTTAACTCAAAATAAACTAATGAGAATTTGATTTGATAATTTTATTTAAAAATATATAAGATCATTTTTTTTATAAAAATGACAGATTTAAAGAATTTTAAATTATGAGGGTTGATTTATTAATTATAATTATGCGTTCAGTTAGGTAACCAATGATGGGTCGTAGCTTTGTAATGTACATATGCGCTCCGCCTCCACCGGCTCTTAACCATCATCAATATTATATATTTTAAATTACATTAAATTAAATATAACAATGTTAAGGGTATTTTTTGGGTGTGACAATTGACACGTGAATTCATGTGAAGAGGGGTCCTCTATGTTGCGCAATTTCAATCCAAATGA